CATCTCGCACGGTGGGATCAAGTCGTTACCCTGGCGTGGAAAACTGCCCAGTAAGGAGATTTTCGACGAACCCCGGCTTCATCCAGGCGTCGCAAGGAGGTCGCAGGCCATGGGGCACAATCCGCGTGCTTCGACTGCCACGGTGAGGTGGCGCCGCATAGTCACGGCCGAGCCACGAGGTGCACGACACGACTTACTTGGGGCCTCGAATAATCAGACCGGACTCGGGATGTGCTCCTTGGCGGGTTACTCAGGACCAACGGTGGAAAAGTCGACAGCAGCGAGCGATGGACTGCTCGCGCGTCGGTAATCATCGTGGAAGCAACACTGATGGCCAGACAGCACGTCACGTGACAAACGACAGAATGGAAAAATGAAAAGAGAGAGGTACAAGGAGCGACCTGAGGGGTACATGGCCGGACGGGACCCATTTATGGGCGCGCGAAAAGCAGCGGGCGGTGGGGCAGACCGAAATTCCCCGTCTGGGAAGGTGCCCTAAACGGCAGGCACGAGCCGCTATTTCCAGAGGCGGGCAAGCCGTCTGCTAGAATACTAAAATATTTATTAATAAACTTATTAATAAAATAAATATTAATCAATTTTTTATTTACATTAAAAATTTCTTTTTTAAAAAAAGCTATTTTAAATTATTTAAATAGCTTTAATTTAAAAATTAATATCGACTTTTAAAATAAAATTTTTCTTAATAATTTTAAATCAAATTTAAATATATTTTTAAATCTTAAATATTTTTTTTAAAAAAACTTTAAATTTTTTAATTTTATTTCAAATTTACCTACTATAAATCTTTTTTAATAATTTATTATAATAAAACTATTTTTTATAATTAATATTAATAAAAAATTAATATAAATTTATAGCTTTTTTAAAAAAAAAATTTTTTTTTTAATAAATTAGCTAATTTTAAACTGTTTTTTTTTAATAATTAAAAATTCTCCTTTTAAAATAAATTTTTTTATATAATTAAATTTTGTATAATATTTTATTTATTAAGTTATATATATTATAGTTAATATTAAATTATAGTTTAAATCGTTATTTTAAATATTAAAAAACCTTTTAATAAAAAAATAATTTATTGCTTATAAAAATAAATTTTGATAACTATTATTTATTAAAACTTTAAAATTTATTGTTAAAAATAATATTAAATAAAAAACTATTAATATATAATAAATATTAAAATTATAATTATAAATTTAAATCTTGCTTTATTATTAAAAGTTTTAAATAAATCGAAAATATTAATTATAATAAAACTTTTATAGCTATTATAATTTTATTTATTTAAATTTTTTTTTTTAATTTTAACTATTTTAAATAGTTAAATAATTAAATAAATAGATTTTATAAATATTTTTTTATATAATAATTTATAAAAAATAATTTATTTTTTATTTTTAAATATATTAAAAATAGTATTAAAAAATCTAAAATTATTAAAACTTGCTATAAAATATAATTATAACTTTTTTATAAAATAAGTTTTAATAATTTTTAAAACTTTATATAATTTAAAATAAATTTCTAAAGTTTAGTAAAAAAAATTTACTAAAATTATAAAAAACTTTAATTTTTTTTCTTTAATTTTAGATTTTTTAATATATTAAAATATTATTATAAATTATTATATTATTTATTTATGTTAATAATTATTTTATTATAAATTTAAATATTATTTATATTAAAACTTTAAAAATTTAATTAAATAAAAAAAAAATTATTAATAATAAAAACTTTATAACTTAATTTTTAAAAACTTTAATTATTTATAATATAATTATTTAAATTTTATATTTAAATTAAAATTAATATATTAAATAAATATTAATTAAATTAAATTTAATAAATATTAAACTTATTAAAATATTGTTTTAAATCGATTTAATTTATTTTATTAATTATAAACTGTTAATTTTTAATTTAAAATAATATTAAATATTAATAAATATTATAATATATATTATAATAATTACTAAAATTAATATAATTTTTATAATATAATAATTATTATAATATATATATATATTTAAAAAAGCGCATTTTATAAAAGCTAAATATTTTTTTCGATATTTAAAAAATATTATAAAGTTGTCGATTTATTATAAAATAAATCTAATTTTTCTATATTTTAAAAATTTCTATGTCAGAAATTTTTAACTAATTGTTATAACTAATAGCGATTTTGCTAAATATAATATTATAAAAAAATTTATTTAAAAATATTTAATAATTATTATAAATATTATTATTATTTAAAAATCGAAAAAAGCTTTTATTATTATATTATTTATTTTAAAAGTTAAATTTATAGCTTTTATAAAAATTATTTATAAAATAAAATAGTTACAAAAACTTTATTAAAAAATTAAGTAACTAATTATTTTACTAGTTATTATATTTTTTAATAATATAAAAACTATAAAAGTTTTTAAAAATTTTAAATATTATAATTATATAAAATATATTTTAATAAATTTTTAATATATTTAATAAAATATTAATAATAAAATTATAGTTTTATTTTATTTAAATATAGTAAATATATTAACTAATAGTTTTATTAAATTATTAAATATAGCTAAATAAATCTATTTTTAATAATTAGCTAAATTATATTATTTTATAATTTTTTTAAAAAAAACCTACCTATTATATAAAATAAATAACTACAATTAATAACAAATTTATTAATAATTAATTAGTTTAATAATTTAATAATTATAACGTTTACTTATTAATAATATATTTATATATTAAAATAATTATTATTTTAGTATAAAAATATATAATATAAAAAAAACTTAAGTTTAAATCTTAATTAAGCTATTTTTTAGGGGTTTTTTTTTTAATTTAATCAGTTTTTTTTATTTTTGCTAACCTTTATTTAAAAATTCTAAGTATTAGTATTAAAAAAAGATATTAAAATTATAAAATACTATTTTATAATTAATAATAATACTATTATTTAATATTTTTTATAAAAATTAATGATAGCAATAAAATTTTATAATATTATATAATAATTACGCCTTTTTATAGTAATATAGTTAAAATTTTAATAATATAAGTTTTAGTTATATTTTATAAATTTACTAAAAATCTTTTTACAAATTTTCGAAATTTTCTAAATTTTAGCGCTTATAATAATTTATTTTTATTAAAATTTAATTTTTTAAATTTAAAAATTAACTATTAAAATTTTTTAAAGCTTATTAAATCTATTTATTTATAAAAAAATATTTCTCTAAAAATAATAAAATTGAAAAAAAATTTTAAAAAAATAATTTTGGCTATTTTTAATGTTTAAAACCCAAAATTAATAATAAACACTTATTATTACTACTTACTTTTACTTATTTTATTAATTATTTAATTATATTATTTAAATTTAATTATTTTAACTTTAAAACTTTTGTTATACTAGCTATATTTTAAAGGATATTATTAAAAAAACTATATTTAATATTATATAATACCTTTTTTAACTTTTTAACAAAAATAATAATAATAAAATTATTATTATTATTATTATTAATTTTATTAATTATTAAAAAAAAAAAAAAAATTTATATAAATATTTTAATATTATATTAAATTATATTAAAATATATTATATTGAAATATTAATATTAATAGTATTTTTATAAATTTTAGCTAAAATAAACGTAATAAATAAAAAGTTTTTCGATAAAAAATCTTACACAAACTATGTAAGGCTTTTTTTAATATTTTCTTTTATAAAATAAAGTTTTATAAATTCTATACCTTTTGCTTTTAATTAAAAGCCTTTTGTTTTTAAAATTAATAAATAGTTTAAATAGCTAATAGGTTTATTTTTTTTACTATATTTAAAATATAAATATTCTTATTAAAAAAAACTATTTAATATTTTAAAGGTTTTTTTTATTTATAATATATTAATTAATTAAATAATATTAATTTATTTTTTTTATTAATTATAAAATTATATATTATATATATAATAAATTATAATTATTATAAAAAAAATAGCTTTATATATAAATAATATATTTTAAAAAATAGGTAAAATTATTTATTAAATAGCATTTGTCTTTCGTTAGAAAGATTAGCTTAAACTCGCACCTGTTATAGAAAAAAAATCTACACCAGAACCTTTTAAATCTAAGCTTCTAATTGGTCAAAAAGAAAATCGATAGCTATTGGCTGTAGGGCCTGATTCTATAGGCCCTGATTTATAGGGCGACAAGGCCTGCAACTAATTTAATTGGCTACAAGCAGGCCGCGTACAGGGTAGGCCCTCTTAAATCAGTTAAAATTTTAAGACTCGATTTCGTGCACCTATCCTACGTAGCCTCTGATTGGTCAAAAAGAAAATGCATGACTATTGGCTGCAGGCCTCGATTTTGTGGGGCTTAAGGCCTGCAGGTGCCTGGGAGTGCCTGCGAGGCCCTTGGAGGCATGCGAGGCCCTCCGAGTGTCATGGAGGCCTGCGAGGCCCTCTAAGTGTCATGGAGGCATGCGAAGGCTTGTAGCTGGCAGCAGCTGGCCCGGCATACCCACCTGGCAAATGTTTTTTTCTGACGAAAGACCTCGCCTAACAAACCAAAACTATTTAGTATTCCCCAGTTTACCTATTTTCTTTCCTTTAACTCAATATTAATTTATTAACCTTAATTATTAATTTACAATATTATTGTATATATATATTTTATTATAATAAATATATAAAAATATATTTAATATTAATATTATATTTAATAAATTTTATTTATATTATATAAATAATATATTTAATTAAAATAATATAAATTTAAATAAATTAATATTAAATAAATAATTATAATTAATAAAACTTTTTTATTTTATTTTTTAATTAATTAATATTAATAATATTTATTTTATTATTAAAAATTATTTAAGAGTAATAAAAATAAAGAAAAAAAAAGTATACTTGTTAATTTTAATAAGTCGTTCTAAGAATTAGCAAAATATAATGCCCACTGCCAGAATCGAACTGACGACTTCATCATTACTAGTGATGCGCTCTACCACTGAGCCAAGCGGGCTGATGCTTCTTGTTAAGCGATGATTGGGCGGGTCTTATCATTCATTATACATGGGTCATAAAATCCGTGGCTTGACCTCTCTATCTTTCTCCATCCATGCTCTCCTTTGGATTCGGTGGGTCCCGTCTTGTATTGGAATAGGCAGGGGTCTCGGTAGGACTTGTGGCGGGATGAGACTACCCAGGAGTGGTCCTACCTACCTAGGTAGGCTTGCTAGGCTCCTGTAAATGCAGCTGCCTCAGCACTTTGGAGATTGAACAAAACAAGGACCCCTCCACTCAATAATCTCCAAAAAGGCCGACGGAAAATCGTACATGCCACTATCCTGTTAACAACCGTCTATAAACAGCCCGTCAGAGGGCCTGACCTAGTTCATCATGAGCTCCTGTAATTAATCCATCCTTCCGTGCTCCCCTTCCGTAGCCCTGCTGACTTCGGTTTGTCTGCAGTGAAGCAGTTCATCCGCAATGTGCGTGCCGCCAAGACCATCGCCGACGAACGCGCCGTCATCCAGAAGGAGAGTGCTGCCATTCGAGCCAGCTTCCGCGAGGAGAGCCATGATCACAACGTGAGGTGCGATATCAGCCTACGTCCTTCCCTCCCTTGTCTGGTCAAGCGACTGACCGGCTGACATAGGCGCAACAACGTGGCCAAGCTGCTATACCTCTTCACCCTGGGCGAGAGGACGCACTTCGGCCAGATAGAATGCATCAAGCTCCTTGCTTCGCCTCGCTTTGCCGACAAGCGCCTTGGCCATCTGGCAACCAGTCTTCTACTCGACGAGAACCAAGAGGTTCTCACCCTCGTGACCAATTCGCTGAAGAAGTATTTACTGCCAGCTCCTTGATCTTTTTGACTGCGAGACTGACCAGTTTTGACTAGTGACCTGGGCCACTCCAACCAGTATGTCGTCGGTCTTGCCCTGTGTACCCTGGGTAACATCGCCTCTATCGAGATGTCGAGAGACCTCTTCCCCGAGATCGAGACCCTTATCTCCACCACAAACCCCTACATCCGCAGGAAGGCTGCTCTTTGTGCTATGCGAATCTGCCGAAAAGTCCCCGACTTGCAAGAGCATTTCATTGATAAGGCCTCTCAGCTGCTATCCGATCGCAACCACGGCGTCTTGCTCTGTGGTCTGACCCTCATCACGAGCATGTGCGAGGCTGAGGAGGAAGAAGGAACCGAAGAAGGCATTATCGACAAGTTCAAAGAATTCGTCCCCTTGCTTGTGAGGACACTCAAAGGCCTAGCCACCTCGGGCTATGCCCCCGAACACGATGTCACTGGCATCACCGACCCCTTCTTACAAGTCAAGATTCTTCGTCTCCTGCGTGTCCTCGTTCGCGGCGATGCCCAAGGCACCGAACAAATAAACGACATCATTGCCCAAGTGGCTACCAATACCGACTCTACCAAGAACGTTGGTAACTCCATCCTCTACGAGGCAGTCCGCACAATCCTCGACATTGAGGCTGATTCCGGCTTGAGGGTACTGGGTGTCAACATTCTGGGCAAATTCCTTACCAACAGAGACAACAACATAAGATACGTCGCCCTCAACACCTTGATCAAGGTTGTTGCTATCGAACCCAACGCCGTCCAACGGCATCGAAACACCATCTTAGAATGCCTTCGAGACCCGGATATTAGCATCCGAAGACGGGCGCTCGATCTCAGCTTTACTCTCATAAACGAAAGCAACGTGCGCGTGCTGATCCGCGAGTTGCTTGCCTTTTTGGAAGTTGCCGACAATGAGTTCAAGCCAAGCATGACTAGTCAGATTGGCATTGCCGCTGATAGGTATTCGCCAAATAAACGATGGCACATAGACACAATGCTGCGGGTGCTTACCCTCGCTGGGAACTATGTCAAGGAGCCTATCTTGGCCTCCTTTGTGCGACTTGTCGCAACTACACCCGAGCTCCAGACATATGCCGTACAAAAGCTGTATACAAGCTTGAAAAAGGACATCACACAAGAAAGTCTCACCCAATCGGGGGCCTGGTGTATTGGAGAATATGGTGATTCATTGTTGAGAGGAGGGCAGTATGAGGAAGAAGAACTGGTGCAAGAAGTAAAGGAGCACGAGATTGTCGACCTGTTCACCACGATTTTAAACAGCAGCTACGCCAATCAGATTACCACCGAATATATCATCACCGCCCTCATAAAACTTAGCACAAGGTTATCTGACAGGCCACAAGTGGACCGGGTGCAGCGGTTGCTCCAGGCGCATCAGACGAGCTTGGATGTCGAGGTTCAGCAAAGAGCCGTTGAATATGGCAATCTTTTCGCTTACGACGAGATCCGACGAGGCGTACTTGAGAAAATGCCACCGCCGCAGATAAAAGAAGAATCGAGAGTCCTGGGAGAAGCTACCAAAAAGGCCAAAAAGGGGGCGAATCGCAAGTCAAAGCTCGTCGCCAAACCCACAACGGACCAAGACTTGCTCGATCTCATGGGCGACAGCGCCTCAGCGCCGCTCACATCACCAAAAAGTGGTGGTCAAAGTAATTCCGACCTTCTAGCCGACATACTTGGTGGAAGCACCTCGCCACCACCATCATCTCCCCCCCAACAGCAGACTTCCGCCCAGGCATCGATAATGGACCTCTTTTCTCAAGGCTCGGCGCCCGTGGCACAAAGTCCCGCACCGCCCAGCTCTGGATTAGACATGCTCGGCTCCCCTCCACCACAGCAGCCTGCAGTCGCCGCCGCGCCGACTGGAATTGCCTGCTATGACGGCAATGGCCTCAAAGTGACCCTACATCTACGGCGCAACGTAGAGGGAGCTGTGCAGGTCATGGCGCGCTTTTTGAACGTCTCCGCCTCTGCTCTCGCGAATGTCGGCCTACAAGCTGCTGTGCCCAAGACTCAAAGGTTACAACTCCAGGCCATCTCCAACTCGGACGTCGGGCCCGGGGCCGAAGCAACCCAAACGATGGTTGTTTTGGGGAGCAAAGGTGTAAGTGTTCTCGCAATCTACCATTTCTGTCTTAGTGTTTTCAACACCGCTGACTTATTTTCACAGCCTTTACGACTAATGTTACGAGTTGGGTATACCCACCCATCAGCTGGTCAAGTTATGGATCAGGTCAAATGGACAGAACCGTCTTAGACTCTTTGGGTTGGGAAGCGTCCGTAAGACAAATTGTAATCTGCTGCTTTTTGACTTGTGGTTGGCGTGGTCATGCTAGAGTTATCATTCTAAAAGGGATCTTGTTTGTGAATATAGGATAGGTCTCCTGCGAAGTGCTCTCGACGCATTTAAGACATGGGCGGGCTTCTTTGGGGGTGTGAAGAGTCCGCTCTGCATGTCTATTTTCACTGTTTTGTCTCAAAAACGAAAAAAAGAACAAAAATCTCGAAGCTCCTCGATGACTAGAAAGAAGAGTCTACATGTGGATGCCTTTTCTATATGCGGCATGATGTTAGCTGAGTTGACTGCTCCGTGGGTAATGCTCTGTGACGTATGTTTTTATCTGTCTTCTGAAGTCTTGACTGCAACTAGCCTTGCGGTATGTATGCAGTGGTGTCTGCATAAAGGTGAGACTCTAAATATGAACAGATTACCACCACTTTTCGCAAAGAACACGATGTGGCTCCATCCCAAGCCCTCCGGCTTCTGTGCGTGCTGTCAGCTTTGCTACAAAGTCATCCGTCATCGTCGGGATGCCGCAGACATAGACGACTGCAAACCGCCTTTCGGTAGGTGGTCCAATGGCCTCTGCAACGTCTTTGATTGTACAGCGACGCGCCTGGAACGGGATATCGCCAGTGGTGGTAGTAACCACATTGTCACCTACAACGGCGCCGGCCCTCTCAATTTCGCTCGATGTATCGGTATTAGCGCTCTCGCCTTCTTGGCCTTCGCCATGTTCATTTTTATGTCCATCACCGCTACCGCCGCCTGTTAAGAACAGTTGAAAATCGCCTTTGACGCTGTCATGTTGAAATACACGTGCGATCCTGTCGACGAACAACATCTGGCTTGCTTTCCGAGACCCAGGGTCTTTGAGAGAGTATAAGAAATGTACCTCAAGATTGGTCCCGCCTGCCGTCGCGGTAAGCGACTTAGTAGACGCGGCATGAGCATGGGCACACAACATCGGAACAAGAGCATTCACGCCAACGCCACCAGCGACGAAGACAACACGCCGCAGACCTGTGCGAACGTTGATGCCCGGTGGTGGCCACACGAAGCTCCCTCCAATGCGTACTCTAAGCTCTTGGCCGACAATGGACGTCGCGTTGGGGGCCCACAGCCACGCGGCTGGAGGGTTCCCGGGAGATTTCTGTATAGCCAACTCGAGGAAGGGACCCTTCTCCTTCACATTTTTCTCTGCTTGTTCTTGTTCTTGTTCTTTAGGCCCGGCGGCGTCCTTCTCAGCTGGATGCGGCAAAAGCGCTTGTTGCGGCAAAGATGTGATGGTGAACCCGCCAGCCTTCTCGACGCCGGGGACATATACGTCCAGCCATTGTCCCGGAAGGAACTATCGAAATAATTCAGCTCACTTACGTTTTTGAACACACAGGCGAGACAGAAAAACCTACCCGAATAGGTGTTGATTCCCAAGGGATATCTAATCGAAGTATTCGGACTGTGTCATTGATCTGGTTGATATCTCCGACTAAGACCGTATGTAGGGACTATCGCAAATGTCAATCGTGAGCACGTCTCCGATGTCAATAAGCTCCTCTAACCTGGTTTCGCGGCTCCTTTGCAGTCCGCTCGAGATGACTAGATTTTGACGTTTCATGGGCCATTTTTTGTCATGAATCTAGTGTTTACGAGAAAGAGATCGGGACATGTTTTTGGTGGGGTTAGGACAGGTTATCATCACCTCCTTACCTAACCTTCCAGCTTCAAATTGACAGAATAGAACCCAGCGGCACAAGGGGCCCTGCCTACATATCTACATAAGCTATCTCAAGTAGAGCATTGGTATTGCAGCAATTCTTTTCATACTCATCTCCATTCGATCAATGGCAGTTTA